CGGGCTCGCTGCACACCGGTACCTCCCCTTCCCACCTGCCCTCGGCCCGGGGTCTTCCCAGAGAGGGACGCAATTGCACCGCCTCCCGATCCAGTGACAGAGCTGCTCGGGCTCCGCGACACTCTGTGGGTGGGAGAAAAGGCAGGTGGAAAGGAGGCTGCAGCGACCCCGGGAGGCCAGTAAAGCAGGGGGAGCGAGCGTTTTGAAGCCCACTTTAAGAAGAGGTGGCATTCGGACTTGCTTTATTTCCAGGCCAGTCTCCCTGCACTTTTTTTTTTTAAAAGAAAATAAAGCCTTTGGAGTAAAAGCAGTGCAAATAGCAAGATGGGCTTTTTTTTTTTTTTTTTTTTTAAGGTTTTGCCATAGGGCGCGGGCGCTCTCTCCAGAGACAGAGACAGTGAGAGGGGCCATGAGAAATCACAAGGATGGGAGCGGGTGGTATGGTCCCGCCTTAACCCCTTCTCCTCCATTCTCCTCTCGGGATTCTGGGGGCACACGCACAGGCCCCAGCGTTAGTTTCAAGCCCAGATCTGGGACTGGAACCGCCTTCTGCCCTGTGGGAGTCCAGCACCATATTTTTTGCTATAGGGCAGGTGCATTGCCAAAGAGGCAGAGAGAGGGAAAGTGAGCAATCACTCCTGGAGCAGGGAATCACACCACAATCCCTTTTCCTCCATTCTCTCAGGATTTGGGGCACCCATGCACACCTGCCCAACATGATTTTTGAGCCGCTGGTCAGGGACTCAAACCTCGCGGTCCACGCCGTGGGATCCAGCTTCTTAACCTCCACTCACCAAAATGCACCCGTTTAAGTGCACAGTTCGTTGAGTTCTGACAAATGTAAACATCTGTCTAACCATCTCCACAATCAGAATACAAAACCTTTACACGACCCTCCATACCTCCTGCAACTTCCGACTAAGAGAGGAGGCTGCCTGCCATGCAGTGGGCAGCTCGACAAGGGCCGTTTGGCATCTGAAGCCGCGTGGCAATGGCTGGGCACTATGACGTCTTTTGGAATCCTTTCTGTACAAACACGGACATTGCACATGTCTCTGGAGGCAATTATAAAGTCGTGTGCTGCAGCTCTGTCTAGGGCAGTAAAAAACAATGGGTAATATCCATCAATAGGGAGTGCTTACATAAACTTTCCTCACTAAGGGATACCGCTCAGCAGAGGTCAAAAAGAAGGAGGCCTATGGGTGTGGTCCAGAAAGCTCGTCAATGCATTCGGATCCATTTAAAAAGCACAGCAGAGCAAACACAGTACAATATCGTTTGTACAAACAAACACATCTCTTCAGCCATCTGGTGGACTGGTGGTTGAGGGATTTGGGTCCCACATGGACAACTTAGCTGTTCGAATCCCAGACCTGGCTGCTTGAAAAACATGTGGGGCACCTGTGTGTGTGTGCCCAAAATCCTGAAAGGAGGGAGACATGGTGAAGAGATTTCAGAGCGACCATGCCCCATGGGAGGGGAATGAAGGGTTTTCTTTTCTCCCTTCCTTTCTCTCTCTCTAGGGAGCACATGTGCCCTCTGGCCAAACAAAGCCTGTGAAAGAATCCCGATTACTGTCTATAGCCATGCATTTGTAGGTAAAGAGCACTGAACACTGGAAGAACCCACAGGAAACTTCGACCAATTTCTTTGGGGCTGTGCAGAGGCACCTGGGATTAAAAGACTAAAGGCAGGGAACAAATGAAGATTAAAATGTATAGCTAATGTTCTTATAAGAAAACTATATTCACATATATAACTCGGGATATTAGGGAAAAAATGTTAAGACAATGAAATTACCATCATCTCAAAAGTTATTCTGTAGGGAGTGCTGCTGAATCTCAATCCTTGTTTTTAAAGTCAAAATGGGGCCAGTAGGTGGCATAATGGTTAAGACGCTGGACTCCCACATGGCCAACCGCAGTTCAAGTCCCGGCGGTTTGAAACTCACCCATGTATGTGCCCAAAGTCCTGAGAGGAGAAGGGACTGCAGCATAGCCACCTCACCCCTGCCTGGGAGGGTGATTTCTCTCTTTCTCTCTGTCTCTCCAGGGAGTGCACATGCCCTGCAGCAAAAATTTCTTTAAAAAAAAGTCCAGGCTATGTCAGGTGGTGCTTTTCAGAGACAATGTGTTCTTTGTATTTTTTGTGCCATAGGGCATGTGCACTCGTCAGAGAGAGACACAGAGATGGAAAGTGAGAAATCATCCTGGGGGGAGGGGATGGCCATGCTATAATCCCTTGTCCTCCATTTTCTTGGGATTTGGGACACGCATGCCTGCGTCCACGCAGAAAGCATCTGCAATTGCAGGATACAAAGAGGGGGGAAGGAGAACGTACCCCCAGTGGGGACTGGTCACACTTCAATCCATTTTCCTCCATCTCTCTCTCCTTTCAGGACTTTGGGCACAAAGAGACACGCATCTGGCATGTTCCTTAAGGCACTGGCCTCAAACCACGTGGGAGGCCATGTGGGTCCTGCAGCTTTAGCCACCAGGCCACGGAGCCCCAGAGACTGTCCTTTGTTTACACTCCTCAGGTGTGTGGGAGGTCGTGGCAAGGGAGAGATCTAGTCCCTGTTTCCATGTTCTCTGCTTCCAGCTGAGGTTGAAATCCAGCAGCTCTTACTTGCCTGGCAGGAAATCTCATAATGCATAGCTCTTTCATCCCAGGTATCAAGTCCACACACTGGCACCAAATCCACCTACCTTTCTGCTCAGCAGAGGTAGACAAATGGGGGCTCTTGAAGGAATGGGCTCCCCTTGAAGGAATGGGAGTGTCCCCTCCTCCATACACAACCCGAAGCAAGGGGAGAAAGCGGCTGGAGGAGAGTGAGGAGGTGGGAAAGTGCACTTTGGAAACACTGATTTTTCCTTCTGGTATTCCCGACCACAACCTTAAACATTCGACCTCGGCCTGCGCTGTGCTGAGGGAGAACTCACACAGGGGTCAGACTCCCATTGCACGCGGCTGGGGGGATAAGAGGAACCCCATCTCCAAGGCACTCACCCAAAGCAGCCCCTGTCCAACTGTGCACCCGAAGCAGGGCCCGAGACAGGGCTTGTCTGGCACCAGGATCTGAGCTAGGCACCGGGAGCCCTCCTTATTCCCGTCCTCTGCCTCCCTCAGACCCTTGCCATGGAAGGCTCGGTAGAAGGCTCTGTCCATCAACAGCCCACTTGGGGTCGGAGCCTGAGCCCTGCAGGAGCTTGCCAGGCCTTGTTCTCCAGTTGGAAAAGGTACCCACAACCCCTGGTGAAGGTGAGTCACTGACAGGCCTGGGATTGGGCTGCAGGCTGGGGTATCCTCAGGACCAAGCAGGGCATCGGACATACGGTTAAGTTCAGGGTAATGAGGAACCCTAAGACACAGGGGGGGCTCTAACTTCATGTCTTAAGTACAACTATTGTAGAGAACAGTCACGTTGGTTGATGAGAAGGCTGTCATATCCATTTTTTCTTAAAACACTGTTTTAGGGCCAGCCAATGGCGTAATGGATAAGGTGGCTGGATTCCACATGGCCCATTATGTGCTTTGAGTCTCAGACCCAGCAGCTGGAGAAACAGGCCGGGCGTATGTGTGTGTATGCCCAAAATCCTGAAAGGAGGGAGAGATGGAGGAGAGGGGATTATGGCATCACCATTCCCCACGGGGGATGCTTTCTCATTTTCCCTCTCCCTCTCTCCTTCTGTCTCTGGTGAATACAGTACCCTCTAGCAAATTAAAAAAAAAATTTTTGTTGTCCTTAAAAGATACTGGAACTGGGGTCAACAGTGGATGAGACACTGGCCTCCCACATGGCTGACCATGGTTTGAGTCCTGGACCTGAAGGCTTGCTTTCTCAGTTTCTCTCTTTCTCTCTCTCCCTGTCTGTCTCTCTCTGGTGAGTGCATATGCCCTATAGCAACTTAAAATAATAATAAATGAAGTTAAATAAATAATTTTTAAAAAGATGCTGGAGCGTAAAAATCAATGAATAGACATGGCAATACAATACCTGCACGGTAAACTTAAATTTTTCCCACTATTACGTGCTAGGCAGAGATAGAGACAGAGACATTGCCAGTAACTGGGAACGATTTAAATAGTGCCACTGAACAGCGTAAGCTCCAGATGAGTGTGAAAGGAAAGAGGGGGCTCTGACGTTCCCTTGGGTGGTCTGGTTCTTCCAAGCTTCTCAGAGCACAAACATCTTACCACCCTGGGTAGGATACTGGTGTTGAAACATGTATATTTTGGGTACAATAAAGCCTGTAAACTCAAACAGACCATATTGGGTACACGCAAGCCATGTATGTGGTTCTTGAGACACTGAAAGAATTTCCAAAGGTATCTTTGACCCCGCATCATTTCTACTTCGTGTCTTGACTTGGGAACGTCCCCCACATGTAAAGTACTGTTCCACCATTAGCAGATGTAGTGACCAGCAAGCTGTCTGGGACTCTAACCTTGAGCATGATAACCAAAGACTGTGGAACACAGGCTGCCCTGCAGGAGGGTTTCCAAGCATGCCCTGAGGCTGGTGTCGCAGTGGCGGGAAGCTGGTGCAGTCCCACAATACCGCCCAGCTAAGCAGCCCCAAGGGCCCAGCGCGCTCCATCCTGCCTGTGTATCTGTGTTTATGGGCTTAGGAACAACACTGCCCTAACAGGGAGCTTCACTCAAAGCAGCAGCACAAAGTGCCTTTCAGAACTGGCCTTCGGCACAATCCGTTATAATCCTATAAAATGCTCACAGTCGGCCAGTGTTCCTCGCAAGCCAGAAGCCTGGAGACTGGAATAAAGAAGCCTGTTCTGCACTTCCAGGAACAGTGCCAAGCACAGGGCCTCGGTCTTGCCTGTGCCGAGTGGAAGTTCTATGTGCTGCTGGTGGAGTGGGGGGCCTCCATGCCCAAGGCCACCATGGGCTCTTCCCCCCACCCCGGGGCTAGCGGACAAC